TATATATATATATATATATATATATATATATATATATATATATATATATATATATATATATATATATATATATATATATATATATATATATATATATATATATATATATATATATATATATATATATATATATATATATATATATATATATATATATATATATATATATATATATATATATATATATATATATATATATATATATATATATATATATATATATATATATATATATATATATATATATATATATATATATATATATATATATATATATATATATATATATATATATATATATATATATATATATATATATATATATATATATATATATATATATATATATATATATATATATATATATATATATATATATATATATATATATATATATATATATATATATATATATATATATATATATATATATATATATATATATATATATATATATATATATATATATATATATATATATATATATATATATATATATATATATATATATATATATATATATATATATATATATATATATATATATATATATATATATATATATATATATATATATATATATATATATATATATATATATATATATATATATATATATATATATATATATATATATATATATATATATATATATATATATATATATATATATATATATATATATATATATATATATATATATATATATATATATATATATATATATATATATATATATATATATATATATATATATATATATATATATATATATATATATATATATATATATATATATATATATATATATATATATATATATATATATATATATATATATATATATATATATATATATATATATATATATATATATATATATATATATATATATATATATATATATATATATATATATATATATATATATATATATATATATATATATATATATATATATATATATATATATATATATATATATATATATATATATATATATATATATATATATATATATATATATATATATATATATATATATATATATATATATATATATATATATATATATATATATATATATATATATATATATATATATATATATATATATATATATATATATATATATATATATATATATATATATATATATATATATATATATATATATATATATATATATATATATATATATATATATATATATATATATATATATATATATATATATATATATATATATATATATATATATATATATATATATATATATATATATATATATATATATATATATATATATATATATATATATATATATATATATATATATATATATATATATATATATATATATATATATATATATATATATATATATATATATATATATATATATATATATATATATATATATATATATATATATATATATATATATATATATATATATATATATATATATATATATATATATATATATATATATATATATATATATATATATATATATATATATATATATATATATATATATATATATATATATATATATATATATATATATATATATATATATATATATATATATATATATATATATATATATATATATATATATATATATATATATATATATATATATATATATATATATATATATATATATATATATATATATATATATATATATATATATATATATATATATATATATATATATATATATATATATATATATATATATATATATATATATATATATATATATATATATATATATATATATATATATATATATATATATATATATATATATATATATATATATATATATATATATATATATATATATATATATATATATATATATATATATATATATATATATATATATATATATATATATATATATATATATATATATATATATATATATATATATATATATATATATATATATATATATATATATATATATATATATATATATATATATATATATATATATATATATATATATATATATATATATATATATATATATATATATATATATATATATATATATATATATATATATATATATATATATATATATATATATATATATATATATATATATATATATATATATATATATATATATATATATATATATATATATATATATATATATATATATATATATATATATATATATATATATATATATATATATATATATATATATATATATATATATATATATATATATATATATATATATATATATATATATATATATATATATATATATATATATATATATATATATATATATATATATATATATATATATATATATATATATATATATATATATATATATATATACTTTTTAAATCATAGACAGGAAAAAATATTAACGTCAAAAATTAGTCTTAACAAAATTTTAGTTTTAAACATTTCACATAGGATAATAAATTTTGTTTATATGATAGACCACGATGAGAGATTTAAAAAACATAGTGATTAAAAACATTGATGTGTGATTTTGATCATGTTGCGTTATACTTTAAATTGCAAGAATTTGGTTTCAGGTGTGTGATTTTTGAATCACGTGAATATAAATCACAATGTGTGATTTTTTTTAAATCATCCAAACATGGATCGCACTATGTGATTTTTGAAGCGCACTAATACTAATTACGATGTGATACTTTTTAAACCGCATAGATACAGATCCAGATATGTGGTATTTAAATTGCAGAAACAGGGATTGCCCTATGTGATTTTTAAATCAAGTGAATATAAATAACGATGTGCGATTTCTAAATGACACAAATACGAATCAGATTTCTAAAAATCCAAATCCTGATTAAAGATTTTTAAATAACATGAATATGGATCACTTAGTGCAATTTTTAAATCAAGTAAGTATGGATCTTGCAGCGCAGTTTTTAAATCACGTGAATGCGATTAGCGATGTGAGATTATAAATTTGCACTAATATAGATCACATGCTTGATTTTTAAATCACACAAATGCAGATCATGATATGGGATTTTTACATCACACGAAATGCAGATCACATTGTGCTGCATTTAAATCATGTCAATATAAATTGCAATGCAGAGGATTTTCAAATTGACGAACAGGGATAAGGGCGCCAATACCCTAATTTAGCGTTTCCCAAACTTATGAGTTTTGTGTACCCTTTCTAAATTTTTCGTAACGCTATGTACAATTCATAAAAAAATTAATGTATTATTTACTATAAAAAATTTGCACAAAAGTTAAAAATCACAACAAGCTGTTGACACCACTAATTATTAACTATTAATTCTGCAAAAAATATCCAATAGAAAAATACCTATTTGTAAATTTTCATGGAAAGCTTTGTTTTTAAATAAAACTTTTCAAAATTTTCGTTTGTTGCAAGATATTTCGCATAAGAACACATACCCCCACTAAACTGTTCCTATACCACCTGGGGGAAACGCTGCCCTACCACACTTTGGGAAACGCTGCCCTAAATCCATGACGAACTGACAATATCCATGACTTATCACTGAAAATCTTGACTTTCCATGATAATTTCTGATCAAGGTCAAAATCAATAAATTTCTATGAATTCAATGACTCTCCAGTTGCGCGGATACCCTGTATGTATTAGTAATAGTAGATAAATATTCAAACAAGCAATAAATTATGAAAAAGTTCGTTCTTACCAAGGATTTTTTTAAAATTAATTTTAGGGAATTATTTAACCTGTACAAAATCCAGGAGAATTTTTATTAAACTAGTAGACCACTAGAAACTGGCAAATCCAGTAGTCTACTGGTAAATTCAGTAGAGTTGGCAGTTAAGTATTAGAAATCACATGTTTTATATACAGAGTTGACAGTTATATCCACACAATGAAATAAAAAGGAATATATACCCTGAGCATAGTGAGCTGAACTCTGGGAAGGATAAGGTGCCATGTGAGAATTACTACCACCCATCATGTTTTGATGCATTTTATTTCCATACATTGCTGGAGGGGCCATTTGTTGACTATAACCTGTCAATAAAATAACATATTAATATAAACAGAAAAACTTCTTTTCTTTAAAAAATTAATTATAAAGTTATGTTTAAAGTAGTTAGAAAATGTCATTATTTTTTTGAACTCTAGAATTGAATCATTTCTTATAAACAGAATCAGCAAATTACATGTTCTGATCATAAGACCACTATTTTATCACTATTTTTCTTACTCAAGATTTTTATTGCAAGCATTTTACTATGCAAGTAAACATTTAAATAATTGTGAACAATCCTATACATTACTATTTTTAACAGGGACGCCACTGTGTTCTCCCTGCATATATTATAGATAATGCATTAAGAGGAAAGAAACACAAAATCACTGTGCAAATGTGTGAACTCTCTGCATTTTCACAGTTTATAAGGAAAAACACAAAATTTCCTCAATTTTTCCTGTTATTTTAGATGATTTTCTAATTCCTGTGGAGTGGCAACATTGCTTAACAATGCTATGATTAAAGAATTTTGCAAGTTAAAATCAATTTAAAGAAACTGAATTTTCTATTCTCCTTCTAAAACTCCTCACCTCCGTGTCAGAATCGCGATCACATTGTCACAGAACGTTACAGAGCTCTTGCAGAAAGAATTTCCCTTTAGAAAGCTTAAAAAAAAAATTGGTTTTCTTTTCTTTCACTGATTTTTACGATTAATTATTATTTTTATTTTTTTATGTGATGGTGATTTACGAAATGCGAAAAAAGAAATAATTAGTGTGTTTTCCTCTCAAAAAATGTTAGAATATCACATATGACATTAGAATAAAAAAATATTACATATTCATTTTAAAAAAAACTACAAACAATTTTATTATATCCAAATAGGCTTTTCTTTGTAAATACAACATTTCTGTTACTTTAAATTTAATTAATAGCATATATATATTAGTTATTATTAAAAGTATCTTGCAGAAAGATATTAGTGTTAAAGAGGTTTGTTGCAGAAAGGCCAAAAAAAATTCTTCAACAGGGCTTCCCACATAAAATACCATATTTACTTTAAAATATCCTTCGAGAATAATTCTTGAAATAACAAATGTTTTAGAATAAACAAGACACTTTTTTTACATTTTGTGGGCATCCCAAGAGAGGGACGAAATTACATGAAACAGTCATAATAGTTTCTTAAATTTCACACAGAAGAAAACAAAAATTCTTAAATCTGTTAAATGCCTACAAGAGATTTATAATTTTTATCCCTTTCTAGTTTTTAACTTTAGGAAATTGATAATTCACAAAATATTTCTTAAAATATTGAGGGGGACTGTGAAACAATGCTCAAAACACCAAATTCTAGCAATTTCAGAATGGTTTATTAAATCACGATGAAAATCAGATGAAATAAGCGGAATTCTGAGGATTTCAGGACAGTGACATTTCTGATTAAAAGAATTAAAACAAGAAACTGAATCAGTACCTGTAGTTAGCATAATTGAAGCAGAGGTTTTATATACTGAGGAGTACAATGAAAAGATAAAAACACGAAATTTAAATAGTTTTGTTGGTCATCTTTATTTTCCTTCTTTAGTAGAATGTTAGAAATCACTTTTGTTTTCCCAATTCCAGTCTGGCTAGTCATGAGAACGAGTGCCTATTTTTGAGCACTCGAAACACGTTACCATATTTTATTTGTGTAAGGTAATAGGTGTTCTTTTCAAATAGAAAAAAATATTTCTATGGTCTTTCTTAATTTTAAATTTTACTAAAATTTCTCGTAAATGTAGGGGTTTAAGAATATAACAAAAACATTAAGTAAATAAAAATATAAATTTAATACTCAAGAATTACTTTATTTGAAAAATAAAGTAAGTACATACTTGAGAAACAGCTTGTCATTTCAAAAATATGAAACCTCAAACAACATATATTGACAATAACTTTTTATTCTTCAGATAATTATTACAGATTCCTGATCAAAACTGAGTCATTTCTTACTGACAAATATTTTCTTTTCTCTTATGGTGGGTTTCCGTTTCATTAATTTTGCTCTCAAATTATACAATTATGTTTTTAAAATAATTTAAAAGCTTTTAAAAGTTAAACACGTCAAACAGAAATTTAAATTGTGCTTTCTATATCAGAATTAGAGTTATAGTTTCAAAGTCTTACTGGAATCCTAGACTTCACAACATATTTTGATAATTAAGGAAAATGTTCATTCTTGAAAAAGAAACAACTATATGATGCTGCATGATCGTTGGATTCGATTGAACCAAAAAAATGGCACATTTTATACTGACGTGCACTTACCAAATCAAATGCAAGATAAGGAATTTTTAAATTTATTACACTGCAGAAGAGAATCATCTGCAAGAAACAATATTTACTATTCTAAATGTAAATAGAAAAACATATATTTGTTACGATTTTTAGATATTACTTTTATTAATTCTTATTACTTGTTAATTGATCATTTAACAACTTTTGTTTTCCTCATTTTACACAATTTAAGAAAGCAAACAAAAAGAATGCTGTGCAGCATATTTTCAAGAGTTGGTGATGCTGATAGGCTGGGAGCTTAGCATCAGAGCGCCCCATTTCATCATATACCCAGGCCATCACTACCCTTTAATCCCCATTTACTTGAAGCTTGATAGCATGTGATGCCGCAGGAGATATGAAAACTGTTTTAACACTAAATGTTCTAAAAATCAGACCCCAAGCAGCAAAATAATTTGGACCTTCATTCACGAATCTTGGCTAAATATACGTTCAAAGGGCCATTATTTTTCCGACATGGGCCCTATATAGAATTGTCAGCTTCACCCGATATTTCACAATCATTATTCAACCAATATAAGCCCTATATAGACTGATATTGAGGCTGCATAGGACCTATATTTGAAAATCTAGACCTCCCAATATTGGTCCCTCAAAGCATGTTCACATAGGGCCCATATTTAGCCCAACTAGGGCCAAGGTATAATTGTTACTAGGGACATTGTCTCGCAAAGACAACTCTGTGTCCTGCAGGAATTCAGGAGCGTAATCATTTGCTCTCCATGTCATGATGCAAATTTTTGTCTATCCTAGCAGGGTTCAAGTAAAAGAGTGGTGAAAATCAGAAGACTTATATTTAAGACCCTTTTAAGCAAGAATTGGAATTGAACACTTATACTGATTGGTAAATGTGCAGTGAATAATTTAGAATACCTTGTGATGCAGCCATAGGTGATTGTGGCATTTGTGGTTGCCCACTGTTACTTTCAGACTGAGTGGAAGAGGGTCGAGGAGGCATGGGAATGTTTGGCTGTTGGCCTAAAAAAGACATTGAACACATATAAATCAATAGGGTCAATATAAAGAACAAGTCAGTAACAGTTTATGAGAAAGGTACAAAATACAGCATGCCCTCATAGATAAGTCAAAAAACTAATCTAATGATTTTTAAAAAAAAAATTTAAATAATTAAAGTAAAAACAATTAACAAAATAACTGACAATTTTATTAGCAAATTAATAAAAAATATTGAGCACGATCAGAACAATTTTTAAAAACACATCTCTTTAAAGCAATGTTTTTATGACAAAGGGGAGAAAATGGTTTTATGATTGACTTGTTTTACCAAAGGACAGTTTGATTAAAACTGAATGAATATCAAACCCTCGAGTTTTCGGTCTTTCTACAGGGTAATTCAAAATGAATATATCAATTACAAACTGCTATAATTATTGAATGAAAAATAATTTATAGACAAGCATAACATAGAATGCGGATGGAACTTCAAAATTTAACGTAAGGTGCAGTGAAGCGAAATCCTGCGCCTGCGCGAGCACTTCAGTAAAAATGGCAAGTCCCTTGCAAAAAGCATTCCGCATTGTTAGAATTTAACAATTGCCATTCTTTCATCACAGTGCAGAGAAGATTTCGTCAGCATTACAATCAAGAGCCTCCAAATGGGAAAAACACACGCAGATGGCATAGGATGTTTGAAGAAACGGGGCGCTTGTGTCGGTTATTGCACAAAGGCTTCAGAATATATGCCGTGAAGTGTACTACCGTGTAGATGGTGCCCATGTGACCAAGGGATATCACATAGAAAATCTATGACGCATGTATACAAAAGTTCCTTCTATATCCTGAGTAAATTATACAATCAATTCTTTTTCATTAAATAGTCCCCGAGGCAGAATACCTTTGAGCTTTCTGCGACAATTCTCTCTAGTACTAATGCCTTTCCGAGAGACATTTTTAATAGTAGCAAATATTGATGTTATTGATTTAAAGTAACAGAAGCACTTTCTGTTTACAAAAAAGCCTTCATAAATAGAACAGAACAGTATATATTTTTTAAAATTATAAATGTAAGAATTTTTTTTTTAAATCTAAATATAAAAGAATAGATATTCTAATAATATTGGGGATAATCAATCTACTGTTCTAAAAATATTTGTATAGTTAAATTTCTGTTATTTGGAAATTACTTTTTATAATATCAATCTGAAATTCCAGCTAAAGTCAATCATTGCAGAGTTTTTTTATTCACAAAAGAAAGTGTTTAAAAAAAAAATTTAGGAGCCCCTCTGATATGCAAGAAAGGCATCTTTTGAATATAATTCTGCAGAAAGAAAAGAAAAAAAAGAGTTCAGAAGGGGAAAAAATATTTCAAAAAAATCTGCAGATAAAAAAATAAAAAAAATAATTAAAATTTAAAAAAACTACTTTGCCTCCCAAATAAAAAAACTTTTTCGAAGGAACTATGTAATGTTCTGCAACCATGTCGCTGTGTTGCCACGAAACTGTAAATCAGTTATAGCCATTTGTAATTGTTACATTCATTTTGAATTAACATGCATTTCAGATAGCTTAAAGTTAAAAATTAGCAAACTTATATGCAATCTTTTTGTTGAAACATTTTTAAAAAGAAAATCAATTTAATGTTATAGTTTCTCTGCATCACTCAGCTAAATAAATACATTAACAAACAAAAGATTATAATATACCAATTAGATAATTTAATTGCTTACAATAACAAATCTCACTAATTATATTGGCATCTGTAACTTAAAATCCTAATTATGCAATGCAGTTTGAACTTAATAATCCACATTCTTCTTAATAATCTACTTCTTAACAAAAATAATCTGAATAAAATAGCTTCAATTACTTGATTCTGTACAAGAAAAAAAAAGGCACCTAATACTTATCTCCATATTTTTATCATATAAAATGTATCTGCTACATTTTAGATTTTCAAATTCACGACTTTCCATGACTAATTCCAAGAATTTTTCTTGACTTAACGAAGTTACTATTCTCTCCGACAAAAACACAACAATAAATTTAAAAAAAACATTATAATAACATGAATTGAAATGATAGGTATAACCAAAACTATTATACTCTGCATCTTCATATTTATAGATTTTAAATTTAAAAAAAACAGAGTAAAGAAAGAGTTGAAGTAATAAAATAGCTGAAAAAATAATAAAGCAAGTATTTTTTTCTGCAGAATTCCATTCTAAAGATACTTTTCTTGTTCATCAGTAAGGAAAGAAATACTCCTGATTCTATTCCTGATCCTATTCTCATTTCGCAATAAAAAAAAATTGCCAATGATTGGCTTGCGTCAGCTAGAATTTGAAAAATTGATTAACAATAAATAAATAACAAAAATTCTGAAATCACAGGCGTTTAAAAGATAATTCACTCCAGGAATGATGTTTTTTCTTTCATTTTATAAAAGAACATAATTTTTTTTGAACATGGTAAAAACATTTTATACTTTAATCAAATAAGACTGTGAATGGGGATTTTGCTACAAGTTCAGATATTCAAAACACCATGAAATTGGGGGGGAGGGTAAATTCCATTTTAAAAATTAGAGGCCCTTTAACTCTTCCATGGAGTCCTAGGGTTCTAAGGAACACATTAACTGATGGTGATAAATCAGGTATTCAAGATGGTATATAGCTTAATAGTTTTAATCCGAGCAACATAAAACCACTTTTTGAGATTATTTTGCAAGACTTAATAAATACACTGCATACATAATACTGTAGAAAAAATAGTTTCTTCCTTCTTAAATATAATATCGTTTTTCAAATAAACTTCTCCCACCCCCAGCCCAAATTATCATTGATTATGCATTAAAATTAAGAATGAAACAAATGCAAAAGATCCTTAAAATAAAAACAAAATAACATTAAATAAAAAGAAATAAAAAGTCATGAACAAAAAAAGACTATCCACAGAAAGAGGATCAAAGGGGAAAAGATCAATGAAGGTTTTATTTCCATTTAGGGAGAGGGGGGAAGAGGGGAAAGAAAAAGAGCACCCTACTCAACAAACTCAAGGTCAATGCCATCAGCTGATAAAAGTATAAAATGAGGTCATTCAGCTGCAGAAAGGGAAAGTGCCAAAAGATAAATAAACGGCAAGAGGTGATTTCTACATTATTTATGGACAAGATTATATCACATTAAATGATTACAAGCAGTCTGTTATTTCTTTAAACAGTGTTTATTCGTTTGTGAGGGGAGGGGGAAGAGAACATTTTTAATCACATTAAGTACTACTCACCAAAAGGATTAAACATCAATAACTTATACAAAGCCGCCATGACTTAGTCTCATTGCAAATGAAAAAAGATTAAAAATGGCAAAAACACAACGGGGGAGCAGGGATTTGTGTTCTAGCTGTTGAGCTTGAAACTCGCATGGTAGAGAAAATTGTGAAAATGGGATATTACTACTGGAAAAATAGATGTTCAATGATTTTAAAAAATAACTAAAACAAGTGAGTATTAACATTTGTTGGAAAGGTTCATGCGCTAATTATGTGCAAGTTCGTCGTACACTTAGCCTAAAATCATCAAGCAAGCCTTGTCTTAATTATTACCCGTTTTGATGAAAAGGGTCCCGCAGTGGACTGATCGTTAAGACACGGTTCCCAGCAGATCACCGAAGTCAAGCATCACTGGCTACGGTCAGTGTGCGGGTGGGTGACCACTTGGATCAGTCTGCGTAGGGACCGAGGGTGTGCGGTATTGGT